GTTTTTTTTCCAACTGAATGAATGAACGACACTCTCGCATTGGCAATGATTTGACCCAGATTTCACCTACCCGCATCCATCATCTTCAGGTTATCGGGCAGGAGGCGGCTGATGGATGTGAGGAGGTCAAAGGGAGGTGAGCGTGATGTGGCTCATTTTGTTTATGTGAAGCAGGTGGGCTGATAAGGTGAACCTCCTCGGCTGACACCTCTAAATTAAACGCTTTCACACCAGAACACAGTGCCATTTGGTGGATCCGATAATGTTTTCTTTTCTTTAGTGAGACTAAGTGTCAGTTGGAAGCCTTGGGAAATGCGCTTATTATGTCAACATGGAATTACCACAGTGTTTGTTGCCAGAGTGTGGCTAGGACTGAGATTTGCTTAGAGAAATTTAGAGTGGTCAGATGTTAAACATTTGGACTGGCTTTAAATAGAAGTGTCTGAGAACATCCTTTGCCAAAATAGGAACAAATTCAACATTCAAATTTATATGCAGAACTTGTTATACAGAACTGACAAGCTTTATTAGATGCTTTTTATGTAGGAAAAAAAGCAACATATGAGGCTGTTCACATAGATTACGTTTTTGCATTTAAAACGGGGAAATGTAGGGCAGTGGATTGAGGAAAAAACGAGATCTAGAGACGCGTTCATTAAAAGTCAAACTACTTTGAGCTTGAGTGGCGCATTTTTAAAACACTGTGTCATGCGTGTCAAGACATGAGACACGATCACCACAGTCAAACACGTCCGCCTAGTGCATGTATGTTTATGTGGCATGATAAAAGCAGAATGCAACTGAAAAACGAGTTCTGTGAGAATGACACCTGACATTTTTTTTTTTAAATTGTCGCAAACTACATTTACATGACAAATTGTAATCAAGCTACATTGGGGTTTGGGATTTCTGAGTCGGTGAACAAACTGTAGTCTGATTAACATGTTTACATGCTTGACAGTACTGAGCAACAACCACATTATTAGACTAACAGACCTAGATACCTGTAGTGGAGAAATGTAGAAATAAACAGACTAAAGTGTTTAAGTGACATTTAATTGCTTTAGACAAATTATTGCTTTAGTACCATCTGAAATTTAATGTTTATGTTAACGTTTACTACTGAGATTAAGTGAGGATCACATTTGTCTCTTGAGAGAAACAAAAAAATCTTGTTTTACAATTCCTGAAGATCTGTGTGTCATACTGTGATCAGATTTCAAGAAACCAAAAGTGTGAATAGATTTCAAAATGAAGTCAAACATTTCTCATGGAATTCTTCCAAAACCAAACGATCCCTGTTGTGCAACTGGATTTTAGTCAGGTGCGTCACAACTACCGACTGTTTTTGAAATCCCTCCATTATGTTGAAGGTCAGAGGCCCGCCCCAACGAACACCTCTGATCATTTCAAACGGGACGGAAGTTGACTTTCAGACTGTAGGGTCATTATCTCAGCAGGGTTCTGGGTCGCCGGGGCTGTTAACACCCACCTGCCGAGAGACGCAGCCGTATGCACTGGCACTCAGATTATTCAGCAACTGGAAACCAACTACTGAAATGCTGCCTTTACTGTATGCCAATGATTGTCTCATTTGTGACAATTTTAAAACTGTCACAAATAATAATAAAAAAAATTTAAACTGTTCTTAATTTGCATGACTTCCTTCTATGGATCACAAAAGGAGATATTTTGAAAAATGTCTCTGTATTTTTTGTCCATACAATGAAAGTCAGTGGGGTCTAATGTTGTTTTGGACTCTTTTGACTTGCATTCTCCCAAACATCTTCCTTTCTGTTCCGCAGCAGAAAATCATACATGTTTGGAACGACACGAGGGTGATTAAATGATGACAAAATTTTCATTTTCACTATGTTGCATAAACCAAACACTTTGGCTCCAATCCCATATTGGTTTATTCTCCCAAGCAATGCTAATCCTCCTCACAGGCCACACAGACTTTGAGCGAGGCATGTCCCAATCAAAACTTTAAAACACTGTCTAGCTCTTGTGAGTCTGTAAGCGAGACCTTTATACAGCTAAGTGAGAAAGTCAGCAGCAGAAACTTCCTGTGTCAAATTGCTTCACACATTCCTCTCCACTCATTTTCTCTCATTCTCTCCCTCATTCCCTCCTCCTCATCTCCCTCCCTCTCTATGGTTGTCTTTGTCATCTACAGCACAAAACACTGATTCAGTGCTGAACCCAGGAGTCCAACATGATCCTTTAAAACACACACATACACACAACTCTCAGGAGCGGATCTGGTCCATTAGCTCAATTCCTAGATCTAAATTAAACTCCATCTCTGGTGCACAAAGCCTGAAAGGATATGACACCACTGACCTGATCCACACGAGACTTCCATTTGAAGTGGCCACAACAACTCGACCAATCATGCACTATACTACAAGTGTGTTGATTCATTTTGAGTGGGCAAGATGGGTATGAAATAAACACATGCCACCAGCTAAATTTGGGTATTTTTGCACAGTAGCGTGTAAACTCACTCATCAGCCAGCCCACTGCGACTTGTATGACATCTCAGTTTGACACTTGACAAGAAAAGCGGTTGCTTAGACGCAAAGACACACTTGAAGAATCACATTTAATTTTATCTTCATGAATAGACAAAAGCTGTTAGTGTGCCTAATGTCTAATTCTGCTGTTTGTCCGGATCTTCACTGGCCTTAATGCAGTTTCCACAAATTTTATGTACGTTAAATGCGTAAAACGACCATTTCAGGAGGTGCTCGGAGTAAATTTTGCTTCAAATCTACACTGAGTACGTTTACATGGACAAAAATAATCCGATTTTAACACGATTAAACAATACTCAGATTAAAAATCTACCATGTAAACAGATTTTTGATTACCTTAATCCGACTAAAGTCATATTCGAAGTAAACAGAAATCGAATGAAGACACGTGGAGTACGTTATTCCTATTTTAGTCGCATTACAGACATATAAACACCTTAATCACATTATTACCGTCGTGTAGGACTTTTCGCCGCATTTTGCAACAGGATACACACACGGCAGTGCTCAACCGTTTGACGGCAAATAAAAGAGCTTCAACACCGCCATCGTCTGTATGCATGTACAAATAATTAACTGCACTTGAAGCTTTCATAAAATTAAAAATGAAACACCCAAAACGATACATGGCATCATCACGAAGACAAACTATGTTTATACATGAAATTACGGAGGGGACGTCGGATGGCATCACGTGGGGACGTAATGACGTGTGCCATTAATCAAACTATGTACTATAACATGTAAAACGCGAACATGAAAGCAATATTCTAAAAGCAACTCATATAAACACCATAATCATAATATTGGCTTATTTAGAATAGGTAAATAATTCGATTACTGAGGTCCATGTAAACGTAGTCATTGTGATTCTCTTAAAGTGAACGAAAACAATGCCGGTTCACTTGTTTGTTGCTAACTTAAGGTCTCTGTATAACCTGGTTTTCCAAAAAAAAAGAAAAAAAAAGTAAAGTCAGTTACACTTAAACTGAAGTGGACCAAATGAGGTCGAAGTTTCAAGGTCATGAGGGCAAAGAATGTCATTTTAGCCCATTTAAAAGTCTTTGCATGTTTGTTTACATATATGGTGAGTTATCTTTTATATCTAGATTGGAAAAATAAAAATGCCTGTAAAACTGAGCATTCATAAACTACCGTGGGCAAAAAAACTAAAGTTTATTTCAGGCAACCATTTAACAATTATGGTCGACTATAAGAAAACATCTACTCCTCAGCTACCTCAATAGAGTGCAACATTCTCCTAATGTATATAAAGTCAAAAACTTTAAATCAAAAGTCTGTATTTCTAATTTGATTATTAAAGCCAGTCAGTACAGTATTTGTCACTACTTCTTGCCTCATATCAAAGTTTGTAATGTTGTAATTCACCTTGTAGCTGGTTGGTTTAGTTAATGGCTTAAACAGAGCTTTTTAAAATATCCCTATAGGAAAAATACTTCTTTAATCAAGCCACTAAAAAAGTGGACGGGCACTGTTGCATTCTGTAGTGTTTGCGACCACCAGTATTTTATCATTGCCAGTCAGTTGTTTAAAAGAAGGGCTTTGGACTCAACACAAGTGCTCAGTAACAAAAAATCATAGCATCCGTAGTAAATACTGAACTGAGAGCTCTGTTCTAATTTTCTTAAAGGATTTCATCATAATGCATTTCCTCGCGCGCACAAACGTGAATGAATTCGATTCCCTTCTGAATCTGTGTTCCGCTCTCGCGCGCCGCGAAGGCCAATGACGTCATCCCCCCGCAGCCTGCCGCCCCTCCACACCCCGCTCACCCCACCTCCGGCCATCTCCGGCCAAAATCACCCGCCGAACGGCGACAGCCAACACCGCCTACAACCCATTATAGCGACCATGTCTGAAGCCCACCGACCACTCCTGACCACAAAGAGAACGGTGCGTGTGGAGGGACCACCGACAGGCAAACATGAGGGACAAAGGGCTTGCAATTAAACCCTAATTAGATGCGGCGCGTTAATTATAGTTTATCCAGACACCAAGATTCTTCACGCCAGTGTAATCAGACAAGCGACCCTGACCCACAACACACACCCACCCACCTACCCGCATCCAGCCCAAAATGGCTAAACAAGGCAAAGGTGCCCAGGAGAAATCCGCACCGCTGTGGCTGGCTGATAGTAGGTCCCAGCTCAGAGCTTTCTCCAGCCCACTCGCACGCAGCGCTCCCCAGGCCGCCAGAGACGCGCTGTCTGCGGTCAGCCGAGAGAATGTGGGTCGCGTCCAAGATTTACAACCGAGCAAGCAGCACACGGCTACCGTCGCCTAATTAATGACCTTACAATTCACACTCTCTCATAAAGATTACCGCAAGCACACACGAACATAATCCCGAATGTGAACGTTGGGCATGTTGTGAGCGCGTGTGACCGGCAGTAAATCGCCCTCTCGTAACAATAGATCACAATAGAGTGTCATTCTCACCAGGGCAGTCTGCGCCAGCAGCAGCAGCAGCGCCAGCGCCATCCAGCACGGGAGCTTCATGGTGCTCCGAACACAGCAAAACACTGGGCTCGCGCTCTCGTCTCCGCGCTCCTCTTCAAGGGACTAGAGTAAACCTTTCGCTCAGTTTTCGGTATCCAACTTCAGGGCAGGCGCTTTCGTCGGCACATCCGTCTCGCGTCGGCACGGTCAAATCCCCGCAAAACCACGCGAAGACCGAGGAGGAGCAGCTTGTGTGATTTCCTCCCCTCTGATCTGACTCGAGTGGCTGAGACCTGATGGATATGGAAGCAGGGAAGACTAGAACTACTCTCTCTCTTTCTCTTCTCTACGCTATGGCGTGTGTGTGAGAGGAGGACGGGCATTGGGGTGGATTTTCTTCGTGCGGTTGAGGATGCCCCCTGCAGCCCAGTCAAGCATCGACGTCTTCCCTCCCTCTCCCTTCTCCTCCCCTATCGCGATTTCCATCAGAGCTTCCCGAGACCCTCAACATTTTGTCTGTAGTAGTGCCAGTGGACATATGTTTTTGATAATACCGCTTACATAATTTCATGCTACTGTTTTGACTGAATATAATGTCACCTTTAATGTCCTTTTATAATGTTTTTTGGGTGGTGTTTCAATATGTACATAAAATTAAGGTCTGCTAACAGTGTTTGGTGCATAAGCAACAAGTACCAGAATGAAAGTGGCAGTTTTTTGGTTGTCTGACATTTGATTGTATGAGTATGGGTGAGATACCTTCAGACGACTACATTATTCGGCATATCTGTGTTTAGGAAAGTCTGATGCACTGAGCTCAGTTATTAGGCACACTATAAGATATCATTTAGCTGTTGATATTGGATAGCATATGAACAGCTTAAAACTCTGTCATACATTTAGAAATGCACACACTTGCCTTATGTATTGCAAATAAAGACATTTTTAAGCTATCTAGAGACTAGTGTATGATTTGTTATTAATAAATGGACTGTGAATGCCTTGGTACTTGAGAAATCATTAAGGACTTACAAAAAATCTGACAAAAACTGTCTATCCCTATAAAGCCTACTGTATCATATTCCCTGAAAAACTCAATCTACACAATCTTGCTGATTTTTTTAAATAAACATTACTTCTATATCGTTAGTAATCTTTCAAGACAAACATTTACTGGACTGAAGCAGCTTAGGTTTACTTTATCCATAGACTGGCCTAATTTTTTTTTAGAAAATAGATTTTTTAGAAAAAATCTTGTGTCAATAAAACTAATGTATAAAAATGTATCAAATATGATACATCAGGCTTTTGAGGAATGTTCATTTGTAAATCTCTGACAGTCATCATTAATATTGCATTGTTTTGCCCTAATAATTAAACTATACTTTTAGTAATAAAACTAAGCATTTAAAATAATCCTGATAAGACATTATTAGGAGATACAGAGTGACAACTGATATGCATTTTATGTAAATTGTCTGTTATACTGTTATAAAAATTGCATTGATTTACAGAATTTCATCTTGCTTTTTTGTGTTTTTCCTCCTCGAGCATGAGCTCCATATTCTTACTATCATGCTATATGGGCCATAAAAGCCCAATGATCCAAATATGATATGATACAAAACATAAAACACATCAAATTTTTTTTAGATTTTCTTTTTTATATTTTGGCTCAAGGTTTACTAGACTTTTCCATTTAAAAAAAACCTTTCAATTCACACATCAGGCTTTACAGGGTTAATATTCATTGTACTTTTATGATTATTCTTGTTAAGATCTATTCCTATCAAATGTATTTAATACGGCTTGTGTTAAGGCCCATTTACAACGATAAGTGCACTGCAGTTATGACGTCTTCTGCTTTAAATGCTCAAGGTCTTTAAAGTCAGGTAGACTCTGATGGGCTTGTAACATTTTTGTTCATCAGCTACAAAAAAATTCTTCTGTGACTGTAAGTGATTCCAATGATATCACTCTAATGTATCGTTATTGTTCTTACTGTGGTGTGGACATTTATATTCTCATATAATTAGAACAATTATTAAAACTTGAAAAGCCACAGTCCTTAGTGTGAACAGGCCTTAAGTCACCTTTGAAAAATGCAAGATTTACACCTGCACATCTGGCAGACGTTTTTATCTGAAGAGATTTGTGGTTCATTCAAGGTATGTATTTTGCAATTACATGTTATGCAAGTTTTACATTTCAAAATCAACAGAATCCTTCATCTAAGCACATCTGCTACTTCCATCAAGACAGTATCCTCAGGCCATGTCGTTAAGAAACTTCATCAAATTATTGCTACAGGAAAATTTCAACATCAAAATATCCTTTGGAAAATGCCATTAATGTTTCATTATTATCATACATTTCTTTAATGATGAGCTAAAGCGACTTAATCTTGAACGAGTAGTTTTTCCAACTGATTCCTGAAAAGTATGACAGAATAGATAATTATCACTGTGCTGAAGTCTTAAAAGCAGCACATGAAAAGGAAGAGTCAAAGACCGTTCTGAAATTTTGAATTTTTTTCATTGTTTTGTTTCAAAATAAAGATCACACATTGTTTAGAGACAATCTACAACTGGAGTTACAAAAAATAGTTGCCCAGGCAGAAAGCACACACAGCATCTGTTACCTATACACATTATGGTTACAAGTGTGCCTGCATAAAGAGAATCATAGGAAATATACACAAAGCTGTTTAAATATACACCGGAGAGTGTTCCAAATCAAAAACCAATGGCCAGTATGTTACAATCACTTACAAGTAGACAAAAGAATGGCAAATCTGTACACACCTCCGACTCTGACCCGGGGCAGTCGAACGCGTCAAACACATACACACAAACGCACTTGCTGCTACCTGCCCCAGAGCGAGGGAGGGACTATAAAAGATCTTAAAAAAAAGAAAGGGATGAGTGGATGTGAAAAAGAGGTGGCTGGTGAATGGCTAAAAGCAGAGTGCGCACTTTTCTCTGTTCTTTGTACATCTATGCAGTAATAATTCAAAGGGCTTCAAAACCAACAAAAAATCTGATATTACAATTTACAATATATAACAACTCATAACTCAGAAACCACAACCAAAGAGGTGAGAATTTACACTGAAATGCACAAGATTTTCTTTTTTCCATTTTGTCGTTTTTTGTTTTTTTTCTCCTCATACCAAAAAAGGGCTGTAGAAGCGAGTCCACATTTACATTAGCGAAGGTTTACAAATGTACAATTATACAATCAGAAGTATGTATTCACTACAGGGGAAGATTATAGATACAGATTGGACATCAAAAACCAGAAAAACTACAAAGTTATATATATATATATATTTATATATATGCAAAGGTCTACACCAAGTATGCACTAAATAGTTTATAGAAGCAAGACCAAAAACGTCTCCCATGCTAAATGTCTGCGTGTTAGCAATCAAGTGTTCGCGATAATGTGCGTGTGTTATGAAAGAATATGCGCGTTAGAAAGGTGTTTTGCGAAGCAATAAAGTGTGTTTGCGCAAGCCTACATGATCGAACGTGGGATAAATAAAATATTCTCTCATTTCATACAGGACCAAAAAAGGACCATCATTTAGGTAGTAGAGTGAAAACAGGAAGAAATGCTAAAAGGGAGAGGAAAAAAAAGGGGTCACAACAACCCGGGGATGATTCAGCGATGAGAGGAAGGTTTCGGTGATTCCACCCAACCTCCCTACGTCATCGGGTGTGGACAAACACGCTCACACACACGCGTGCACACAGACCGGCATCCTACAGGAGTTATGGGAAGGGTTTACATGATGCCATTAGGGGGTGCACAGAGTGGGCCGAGGTCAACGCCGTTCTTCATGTAGTACTTCTCCAGCTTGGCCAAGATGTGCTTTCCGTATGTGTACTTCCTCAGCGTCGCAATATGGGGCCGGATCTACACAAAACAACCGACATCCACCGTTCAGTCACAATTCATCGGCACAAACAAGAAAAGGAGACATACTGATAACGAAAAAGAAGCCGCACCTTGTGCATTACAATCTTGCGTTGTGTCGGCTCGGCCACATCGATCATCTTCTGCACAACGTAGTTGGCGTACTGGTCCTTCATCATGGTGTATAAGGCACTGTGGGGCCCGTCTGCCATACTGCACACCTCATCAATCAGCATCGCCCTCTCGGCACGCAACGAGTGGGTCACGCACTTTTCCACCACGTTACTGGGAAATAAAACACACAAAAGACCCCTAAATAAGACACTTCTTCCTGTGCACCTTTGTGTGGCGGTAGGGATGCTCCGATCGATCGGCATCGGCCGATAATCACATTTTATGACTTGATCGGTACTCGCTACACTTGGCCGATCTCACGAACCAATCGCAATTTGATGACGTCAACACGCAAGGACATACATGATGCGTGGGGACATAAATGATTTTCTAGAGGGACATCCATCACCGTTGCACTCGCGTCTCGCACAAAGGAGCCGCATGTTTAGAAAGCCATGTAAAATTAATGCAAGTTTAACTTTGAAAAAAACATATATCGAGACTTTATGGCAGGTTTTTTTCCCATCCCACTGCATCTCCTGTTTTTAAATGAGAAATGTTAAAAAATGTAGTTAATATTTGCATCATTTATGATTTATTTTATCCCACTCGCAAATAATCAGAATGCATTATTTTATTACCCGACCCGCGGATTATCCGCAGCGCCCCTGGATGTAATAGTCACCGAACTGTTTTGTGATAATATTTAAGTACAAAATTTGAATTTAGTTTTTCAGCCATTTTGACAGCCCTAGCCCTAACATAGGCTTTACGTCTTTCAAACTTTATCTGGAATGTCACCATTTCTGTCACTGCAACTTCCCGATCAGGCAAACACACACACAAATGAAATCGTCTGCCTGATAAAAAAAATGTATTTTAAAAAATGTAGTTAATATTTGCATCATTTATGATTTATTTTATCCACCCGCGACCCCAGCAAATAATCGGAATGCATTTTTTATTACCCGACCCGTGGATATAGGAAAAGCTAAATATGTTTGCTGCGTAACACCGCACCTCGTTTAGTTTAAATGTTTCTATTTATTTTGTCCTCTCTCTAACATTGGACAATGTTAAATTAAACCTAATGAGATGCATCAAACTACTCCAATTAGTTCTTTTAGGAGTTAAATTTTTTAAAATTATTATTATTAATTTTGTCCTGCTCAGACTTGTATTGGACAATGTTTAAGTTACATCAGACTTCTCAATTTTAGGAGATTAAATGTTTATTTTGTCCTCCACAGTTTACTATTGGATAATGTTTAAATAAACCTTGTGGGTTGCATCAGACTGCTCCATTTTGTTTGTATTTATTTTTGTCTTATATTAAGTATCCTGATATACATAATGTTATGCATAAACCCCATTTTAAAGGCATATTAAAATGTTCACTGTATAAGGAATAATTTTTGTGATTATTTATATAACATTATTACATATGTTATATAAAGCTTGAAGCATCAGAATCGGCCGATCACCCTGACAAGAAATCGGTACTCCGTATCGGCTGCAAAAATCCTGATCGGAGTATCCCTATTAGAGACCTGCGCGGGACGGATTTTTCAGTCCCGCTCCCGCCCGTTCCCGCAAGATTCTGTCCCGCGCCCGCCCGCTCCCGCAGAAATATATCTTATCTGGTCCCGCTCCCGCCCGCGACATTCATGTTTTGTCCCGCTCCAGCCCGCATAAAAGTGATCTATATTTTTTTCAGTACATCAAAGAAATTTACATAAAATGGTTCTGTAACATAAGTATCCTGATATACATAATGTTATGCATAAACCCCATTTTAAAGGCATATTAAAATGTTCACTGTATAAGGAATAATTTTTGTGATTATTTATAT